TAGGTAAGTATGCCACAATGACGTCCATTTCGCAGGTTCCATGAGATGTCGGTTTTACCTCTGACACTACCAAAATGCAGCCGAATCTGAAGGATAAGCATTCACAACAGTTAATTTGTTGACTGCTTTTAACTATTCAATAGTGTCTTGATTGTTTTTAATATATTCACAAGAATGCATTCAATTGTACTCATTTGAAATCCTTGTTGCCTGTGAAAGTGTTTATTATTGTTCAAGTAACTGTTCCCATGGTCATTGGTTCATCAAGATTGTCTAACAATATAGCATTATTTAATAAGTTATTGTTGTTTTCAACAGATTTATCACAACCTTCTATTTTGTTATTATTCTTAGAGTTCAAAGCTTCATCCTACAGGTTCATAATGTTTTCCAATTATTTGTTTATTTTTATTGGATTATTATTTAATTAATTGATATTATTATATTTTTTTTTAATTTATTTTTTAAAAAAGTTTTATTATTTAACAAAACCCAAGATTTAACTTCGTGTTTTTGTTGTTTTTTTTTATATGATCTTTTGTTTGTATCATTACTAATTATAAATAAAATGAATAATTTTCTATTCCAATTATTAAATTTACACAACTGGTGGCAAAAGAGAGCTTTTATATCTTCCAATCAAATTAACTTTGTGCTCAAGCATTAAATACAAAACCTGTAATTTACTTCAATATACAAAGACAAGAGAATGTATTCTTCTTCTTAACTAGAACAAGAAAGAATCTTTCTTTTATGTTAACTATTAGGCTCTGACTAATCATTATGCAAAACTTAAATGATTATTTAACTATACTAGAAACAGAGTGATGAAATAATGTAGTATATAGTTTATATGAAACAATAAGTGGCATCTGTCTGCAAAATCTTAAGTTTGATTAGTTCTCATAATTAGATATGTTAAGTAGTCTGACTAATTTAGTTTTACAGTACAATTTTTATGTGACCAGCTAGTTTGACTAGGTTGGTTATATATAAATTGTATTATAAAATTTAAAATAGTCAAACTACTTAACATTTCTACTCATAATTTATTTATCAAATTTTGGTTATTTTTCATACATGAATTCATTATATGATTATTTTTCACATGATTATTTTTTACACATAAATTTATTATATATATAGATTAACAGATATATATGCATTCAGATATGTAATCACAAAGCATAATTTGAATACGAAAAAATGCAAATGTAAGTGATATCAGAGTTGTAATAAATTTTTTTTTTGCTTTTACTAAGGCCATTAGTTATCAATGGCTACTGTTTTTATTGTGATTTAATTATAATTATATAACTTGTACAAGGTGACTCTTATACTATATCTGACAAATAGTGCACAAATTCTTGTACACTGAAGTGTTATTTAACCTAACCTTGATCTTCCTATCTGTGCATCTGTCAAGCCATTACACATTTCAGAGTATATTACTTAACTGTAGAGTTCTAAAGTGTCCTTATGTTAACTAACTACCTACACTTAATTTTTGTTACAGAGCTTACTTTTGTAAAGTTTATCCAGACATTAGTACTAACTTTACAGCAAATATCTAGTCTTAAGTTATATTTTGCTTTAGTCTTCAAACTTCCAATTCAGATAGTCTAAAAAGACTGTAACTTGTTTTTAGTATTCCAGAGTTTTGTTTTCTAAGATTCTTTTTTTCTAGTTTAAGACTTTTAGTAACCTAGTTGATGGTACTTCTCATCTGAGTTTTTTGATTGCCTGATTCTTTTTACATCAATATTCATTTCTTAGATTTAGTCTTTATAATAGTACTATTAAAGACCTATATTACTTTTTTACATAGGTATTTTCAAATAAGCTTCAGCTTTTCAGTTTTATAGATTTACATAGCCAAAAGAACTTATTTTGAGTTTGCACTGTCTGATACCAGTTTGCATTCTTTTGTATAACTCTAATATTGTATATATTTCCTATGACCTGTCAGTTATGCTGTTATAAACATAGTTACAGATATCTTATTTCAACTGATCAACAAAATGCAATTGACATAATATCACTTATGTATTACATAAATGATTATCTAAATTTTTACTGTTGGGAGATTTTGAACTCACAACCTACTACTTGAAGGGTTAACAACTTATTTACTTTTCTATTTTGCTACACTTTCTTTGTAATTGTAATAATTAATAATAATATATAAGAAATTTTAGAAGTAAAGTAATCCAGTACAAATTAATTTGATATTTATCTGATATTTGGTATTTTTTTTTATATGATTTATTATTGGATTAGTTAAATAATAATTAATAATCATTAAAGACAATTTATTATATGATGTCTTGTAAACTTTTGTTTAATTAGTTAATTTAATTACCTATAGTATCTATTAAATGCTTTGCAAAAAATTAATAAAATATTGATAAATTCTTGTTTGTATATTATTTGAACTATTTGTTAACTACAATATTTGTTTTTAGAGGAATTTACAAATAAGGGCCCGGAAAGTGAAAATAATTACAAATACGGGTCCAAATTAAAAATAATTACATAAAAGG